AGAGAGAGAGAGAGAGAGAGAGAGAGAGAGAGAGAGAGAGAGAGAGAGAGAGAAGAGAGGACACAGAGAGAGCACACCCACTTTTTAGGCTGGGACGCCGTCATAGGCTGGAGACGTAATTCAGGACATAATCCTTACACCTAGGCCTTATGGAACTAAAGTCAAGGAGTCTGAAAGGCAGCCTCCTCAGGTACCTTTGCCAGCTTCCGGAGGCAGCTCGAACACCTTGCTATTCAAAACTATCAACAGTCCACAAATTCTCATTAAAAAAAAATCCCTGATCTTCAAAAATAAGGGTCCTTGGTAATGGGGATCTGTTCTGGAACTCTCACTCTCTCTGTCCAGGGTTAGGACTTGGATCTAATAACTTCCCCCACTGAGCCACAGTCCCAACCAAAAACTTCCCTCTTTTGAGATCATTATCTGGCTAACAGTTTAAGTTCCACAGGCACTTAGGGCCCGCTCTCCAGGTATGGGTGGAGGCCCACGGAGATTCCATAGTGAGGCCTTCTTCTTTCTTGACTCAAGGTCAGAGAGGTCCAGCTTGTTTGTACCCCACAAGGCCACACAACTGGGCAAGGCTGCACAAAAGGGTATTTTGGCCAAAGGCATGGTTATCAGTGTCTTAAATACTTCAAGGCCTAATCATAGGATGTTTTGCCTTAAGGCATGGTTACCAGATGTCTTGAATACTAAGGAGGTGTTTACACTTGTCTGTACTTTGTACATTGAACCGTGATGTCCTTGAAAGGGGGAGGTCTTTCTCCCGCCCCCCTTACTTTGGATCTGTAAAGGCTGTGAGTAATAAACACAGGCATCTGTGGTATTGACCCAGAGCCCTCCCGAAGCTATCCTGCGTCTCTGTCTTTTTCTTCATTTATGTCTGTATTTCATATCTATTATTTCTCGATCCTCACTCCTCCATTCAAGGGCCCTTTGACAGGTCGGGCGGGACCCCAACAGGTATGTGTTCCCAGATTCCCCTCAGAGGGGTGCGGACACCTTTGGGGGGTTATTACTGGCCGTGCCACAGCAGAGTTGCTGAGAAGATTAAATTAGGACATAGTATATGTACCATGTGCCCATTTCAAGCCCTTTCCATGAGCCATGGGGGCAGTCCAGCGTAGGGCTCCTCCCAGACTTAGGCTGCCTTGAGAAGGGCTCTGGACCTCACTTCTCTCCAGTGAGGGAAGGTGATTTGCCCAAGGCCACATAGCAACTCCAGGAGTGGCTACTCCCCAACTAGCTCCATGACTGTGGGCGAGCGGGGTACGCCACCTCCAGCACCCAGGGTGGGCATGTGTGAGGCCACCTGTCTTCCTGGACAGATCCTGCAGCTCCTGAAAGGCAAGCTGGTGGTGGGCCACGACCTGAAGCATGACTTCAACGCCCTGAAGGAGGACATGAGCAAGTACACCATCTATGACACCTCCACAGACAGGCTGCTCTGGCATGAGGCCAGGCTGGACCATTACAAGCGCGTGTCCCTGCGGGTGCTGACTCAGCGCCTGCTACACAAGACCATCCAGGTGAGGAGCCTCCCCCTCCTCCATTCCCCTCCCGTCTCTCTCTTCTCCCTCCTCACCCTCAAATGAAGAGTTACCTGTTCTTCCCCTTCCTCTCCTCCAAGCGAGGAGTCCTCCTCCTTCCCCACTTTCTCCCTTAGTCTCCTCTCTCCTCTCCTAAAAGTGAGGCTCCTCCTCCTTTCCTTACGGCCCCTCCTCCCAAGGCAGGCCAGTCCCACCCACCTAAGCTGGCTCCAGGTGAGGAGCCTCTGCGGCTAGCCTGGTCCTCCAGGACTCTCCACCACCACTTCAGGAGCTCTAGTGCAGACACGTGACCCCAAGAGTCTTTCCTCCACTCCTGAGAGGCCGTCTGCTTGTGTGTGACGTGTCTTAAACTTCAGGAGACCAGAGTCAAGGAAGGGAAGGCAGAAAGCCTCTTTGTGAGGTGATCCAGGAGCACCGGTGGGAAGGTGAGGGAAGCCCCTAGAACAGGCTTCTGGGTTTCAATCCTGTGCATCGTGAGGCTTAAGTCACTGCAGCCCCAGGGAAGTGGCGGAAAGTCTGCACCTCCGATGGGCCTTAGTGGGACCTGAGAGCTGGGGTCCCGACGCACCAGTTGCTGTCACTTATAATCAGTGCTGCTCCAAGGTACTACCTCCTCGGTATGTGGGGGTAGGACTCCCTGATGGTTATGATAAATGGCGCTGGTGGTGGCGCTGGTTACCGGCGGAAAAGTCACGGGCCACAGCCACGGCTGCCAGAGTTACAAAGAGCTTTATTAGGAGGAAGGAGGGGATAGGAGGGGGGAGAGCCAGGCCTGGGGGGAGGGAGAGATGATGGCGGGAGCAGAGAGAGAGCAGAGAGAGAGCAGAGAGAGAGGGTAGGGCTTTTGTAAGGCGCAGATTGTGTGACCCCGTAGTAGTCGCCAGCGGCATCCCCCCACCCCATGACGTAAGACTCAAGACCCCAAGCTGCGCATGTGCCGGAGTGAGGGCAGGATCCTAACACTCACCCTCATCCAAGTGGGAGGAGCTGTAGTTAGGGGGGCACACCTTAACAGCCAAACAGTACCCAAGGGCCCTCCTGGTCAACAGTTTTGTCTTGTTTTTTGAGACAAGGTTTCTCTGTGTAGCCTGGGCTGTCCTAGAACTCTCGGTAGACCAGGCTAGCCTCAGACTTAGAGATCTTCCTACCTCTGCCTTGAGAGTGCTGGAATTACAGGCATGCACCACCACTGCTCAGCTGGGATTTTTTTTTTTTTTTTTTTAATTTTTCAGAACTAGGCATCAGACCCAGGGCCTTGAACATAACATACTGAGCAAGCACTCTACTGTGAGCTACATTGCCAGTCAACATTTGTTTTCTTAAAGCAGGGTCTGGCTGTGTAACCTAGTCACAATCCTGCCTCGGCCTTCTGAACGCTGGTATTGTAGGTATATGAGCAGCTTCAAAAGCTCTTCAGGGAGCATCTACTCTGTGTCCCACGCTGGAAGTGGGCGTGGCAGGCCCCTGTCTGGGAGGAGCTTTGGGTTGAATGGGAGGTAGCCCAGGATAGACCATCAGCATTGCTTAGGTAGAAGGGGGGGCAGAGGGGATGTAGCTCAGTTGGTAGAATGCTTTCATAGCGTTCGTGAAACCCACGTCACCACATACACCAAGCATGGTACACACCTGCAGTTCTAGCACTTGGGTGGTAGATCAGGAAGGGCAGAAGTTTAAGGTCATCCTCAGCTACGTAATAAGTTCGAGGCTAACCTAGACTATAGGAGCAGGGGAGGGCAGTGTCCTGGGGTGGGGAGAATGGTGGGTTTGCGGGCTCAGAGGGCAAATCCCAGTATGGTTTGCAGGGCCAGAGTCACAGAGATCTGTGGGAGGAGATGGTGGGCTGGAGAGGGTATGTGAGCCAGGGCCAGTAGTGTGTGGATGACTTGGCTGGGTGAGTGCTCATGGTATGGAACCCCCTCCCACACCTCTGGGAATGGTTTGGGAAGCAGAAGCGGGTCTGAATCTGCCTGGCCTCTGTTGGTCTCCCGACCCATGAAAATAGTCCTGAATTTCCTTGTACCCTGGGGGCATGCTGTGATTTGGTGTGCCTGATGAGTCAGGAGCCTGACCAAGATCTCTGCACACCTGCCCTTCGCCACCCTCTGTGGCTCTCAGCTCAGGCCTTGTCCTGGGGGCCTTCAGCCTGGTCTGCAGGACCCTTAGGATCTGCTCCTTAGCAGTGGCCATTCCAGGGACTCCCATCACCCTCCTCACCAGCTCTCACCTGCACTGATGTCCTCAAAACCTGGCCTCCAGCTGCTGCCTGAGGGCAATGACCCTGCTGATCACCTCAGCAGGAGCTGAGCCAGGGTTGTCACTGGTCAGAGTTGCTAATCCCTTCCCTCAAGGGCATAAGCCCCACAGGGAAAGTCCCTGGCGTACTCAGACCTTGGGCATGCTGGGAACTGATAATACAGTCATTCCTTGTAAGGCAGTTTTTGCCCAGGTCATTTCACAGAAGAGGAAAGAGGCATAAGAAAAAAGACTTGCCCAAGGCCATGGGTCCTGGGGTGGGGGGACTAGAGCCGGTACCCAGGGCAGAGCTGTCCACTTCTCCAGGCTGACTGGCAGAGGGTGCTCCAGCCACCTGCTGCTTCCGCCTCAGATAGCAAAGCAGTAGAGTTCGGAGACCATTCCTCAGTTTCCTCTTCTGACAAGCAAGGGTAGTGATAGGGCGAGTCTTTGGAGGCACCTAGGACAGTAGCCCTTGGAATGTAGGAGACACCGTGGCCACCTGCTTATTAACACAGAACGGGATGTTGCAGCCTGCCTGCCTGCAGGTGTCCCTAACACCCAGTCTAGAGAGTAGAAAAGGAGCCCTTGGAAAGGCAGGCCACCCTAGCAGAGGGACATAAGGGAAAAGGGGAAACATGTCTGAGACACCCCCCACCCCACCCCTCACATCCAGTGGCAGACAAGACCTCAGGCCAGACCTGGAAGGCACAGGAGGTAAAAGATGCTGGGGGAGTCCGCCTGACTCTTGGATAGAAGCCCCGACTCCGTAACTTTCGATGCCTTTGAGCCTCAGTTTCACCTCCTGTAAAACTGGGGATGATCGGATCTAGTTCCTGGAGTTAGGGAGGTTCCCTGGACCAAGTGATTAGCACAGAGGTGGCAGGTGGCAGTCATTTTTTTCCTGAATGGAAAGTGTAGAACCCAGCTCTCCCGCCCCCCGCCCCCCATGCTCTGGCCCCCTCTTCAAAGAGCTCCCAGTTTAGTGGCTCACCCTCCTCATGTCTCCCGAGTACTCGAAGCCTCTCAGGGAACCAGGGATGCAGAGTGCCAGGCACTGACATCCTCCTCTCCTGCCCTGCGTAGGACATGATGGAATTCGCTGGTCTCTACTAGGTGGTGCCCTTTCCCTCTCTGAGCGGCCTTTCTTTCCCGGCCTTCCCTGGAGTGCCCCTGCCTCTTCTTGTGTACCGCCCCATCCAGCTCCAGCCGCCCGCTGATGCCTGCTCAAACCTGAGTCAGGGACCTCAGGGGCACTCTCACCTCCTGACGCCCTCCAGGCCCGGGGAGGCCAGGGTACCCCCACATGCAGCCCCCCATAACTCCTGCCCCCCATGTGTCTGCAGAACAACCGGCATGGCCACAGCTCCGTGGAAGATGCCAGGGCCACGATGGAGCTCTACAGAATCTCGCAGCGACTCAGAGCCAGAACCCAACAAGGGCTGTCCCGCCTGGGGGCGTCATACTGAAGGTCATCCTCGTCCAGGGACCAGAGGCTTCCACTCCTTAAGGACAGTACTTTTCCACAAATGAGACCCGCTTCTAACGACAGCAGCCAGCAGCAACAAGAAAAGCAGAACCAGAGACAACACTCCCCCAGGCCCGCATTTTTCTAGCTTTTTTGGAAGAAAAAAAAAAGAGAGATCTTTAGTAATGAATGGCTCGTTATTTTGTCTAATTCCACTGGAAATGCTTGTCTTTTGTCTTGCTTGGTGACAGAGAATGAAGATTTATGCCCCCGAAGTTGGGCACATGCCTCTCCCTCCTCTCCTTTCTCCGTCCTCCCTCCCTCCCTTTCTCTCTCTCCCTCCCCCTCTCTCCCCTTCCTCCCCCACTTCCCCCAGGTCGATTTAGTACATTTATAGAACAGTGAGCATGGCAGTCACAGGGAAACTTGCTTTTTTTTTTTAACTCTCCCTGAGCCCAGGCCCACCTTGTACTCACGACTGTCCGCCCTCCGCCTCCTGAGTGCTAGCATTGCAGGTGTGTGGCGCACAGCCAGCTTAGATGCCTAGAGACCTTTGCTGCTGTGTTCTTTCTTATACTCCCGGGGATGGAACCTGGGGTCTTACATATGCTAAGCAAGCACCCTACCATTGAGCCACATCCCCAGCCCTCATTTTAAACTTTATTATGAAAAAGTTGCACCCCCCCCCAAAAAAAAATCACACACCAAAATCAGATTCCAAGACTATACAACTCACCGACCATCTGTACAGTTAGAGTAGCCATTTGGAATGAAAGCTGTAGAGCATCATATTAGATTTTATACTTCACGGTATGTTTTTATGTACTGTCCATCACCCAAACCAAACAAACAAACAAATCCACGACGGAGTTGGAACTAGACAAACAATTAGCGTTGTGTCTTCCTTCACGGCATCTTTCTGCCAGGACTCAGTGCTTCCTCGCTCTATGGGAGCTCCCTTTCTCTTCCTGTCTGTCTCTTTCCTTCCCTCCTTTCTTTCCCCCCTTTCTTTCTCCCCACTCTCTACTCCCCCTCCCTTCCTTCTTTCCATCCTTCGTGTGCATGCATGCCATGGCCCATGTGTGGGAGTCAGCTCTCCTACCACGTGGGTCCCAAGGATCAAGCTCAGGTCGTGAAGCTTAGTGACAAGCCTTTACCTGCTGATCCGTCTTGCCCCACTCTGTCTCCCTGTTTCCCTCCCTTTTTTTCAGTACTGAGGAGGGAACCCAGGGCTTTGTACATGCTAGGTAAGTACTTTAGCAGTGGGCTACATCCCCTCACCCTTATTTTTTTTCTTTTTTACTTTTTACTTTGAAAAGGAGTCTCACTAAGTTGCCCAGGTTGGCCTTGAACTTGCAATCCCCATGCCTCACCCTAGCTACTAGTGGGATTATAGGCTTATGCCACTGGCCTTTCTTAGTTTCTTGCACCCTGTGCATCCAAGGAAGCCACCTTGAGTAGCATGTGTCTTAAGGCCCCTCTGTTCCTGTTGAATTTACACAGAGGGGCATTGTTTCCTAGGCTTCTTGCTCAGGGGTCAAGCCACCCCACCTGGAGTCGGGTGCTTTGAGGCAGAGGTGTGCCGAGGAGTGTAGCGGAGCCACTGTACCCCCTCTTTCTAAGATGAGAAAGTCTAGAGTCTGCGGGAACTCGGTCAGGAGGCTCGCTTTGCCCTTTAGTGGCTGTGTGACAGACAGCGAGCCCCCCCCGCCCCCCGACTTCTCTGTGAACCAGGAAGTCCTGACGATACACTGGATATTTAGGAGCTGTTCTCTGCGGACTGCTAATGCCGCTCCTGTCTTGTCCTCGCAGGCCAAGTGTCGCCATCTCTTCTGGGGTTGTTGCCCGAATCTCCATCTCAGCTCCCATCTCTAGCCCGTGTGACTGTCAGTGAAAGAGTTCACATACGAGCCACAGAGTGAGTGCAGTGTAGAAAACAGAATTTATCGCAAAGCAAGCGCCTTCGAGGGGAGAGAGCAGACGACAGCCAGAGACCAGTGCCTGGACCTACACACCAGGCAGGCTTTACATTATGTCTATAAGCCCCAGCATTCCATTGAGGCCTTTGCTCTGTTCTGTGGTGGTTGATTTGGACTGGATCCCTCTGACTTCCAGGAGGAGGCTCAGTGGTGTGTCTCGGAATGATGTGTTTTTATTCTTCACTAGAAGGCTGCCTTTTTTTCATGAACTTCAAGACTCCATAGAGCCCATTTCACGTAGTTACTTCAGGCTGTCCAAGGGGTCACATTAGCCTAGGAGGTCACCTTTCTTCCCTCAGCAAGAAGAATGCCTCAGGTCCCAGCCTTGTGACCACCACTACCCAGCAGTCCCTGTCCTTTGTTTTCTAGACTGCAGACTACGAGGGAGGGTCCATATCCTAAGTCCTCCAAGCCTGTTAATGTCTAACTACCAACAGGGGCTTTAACCCAGACCAGCAGATTGGGAAGGTGCTGGGGTGGGTCAGTACCTGATGCATACTGAGTGTGAGCACACGATACTCATGTCCTGGGGTTCCTCAGAAAGCACCTCCTGGCTTCAGATGGCAGAAGATCTAGATCACACATGGAATTTGAAAAAATAAAGACCTCAACCCTACTACAAGAGTCAGGTTCTAGTGTAGTGGATCAGCCGTGGGACACCGGTACAGATGATAACAGCAATCTGCACTTGATTCTATTGGGAAGAGACCTTGTCACACATTCAACTCGCCTCCCAGGCAACTGGACCCTGGGCGGGGGCAGGTTTGATAACAGCTTTGAGAAATGTTTTTTGGGTGACTGGTGAGTGCAATATGCAGCCACAGTTGACAGCTGCCCTAGGCAAGGGAGGACTTGGTTACCCATCCAGCCTCTTCTCCCCGGACTACTCATGCAGAGGGAGGTCTGACGCCCTACAAGTTGGGTCCTAGGTAGCCCTGCCTCACAGATGACAGGCTCATGGTAAGAGGGCTGAGGATGTGGCTACTTTGTTAGAGTGTTCACCTGGCAATCACCAAGCCCGGGGGTTGATCCCCAGCACCACATAAACCAGGCATGGTGCTGTACACCCGGGATCTCAGCACTGGGGAAACTGAGGCACGCAGATCAGAAGTTTAAGGTCATCACTGGGTACACAGCGAACTTGAGACTAGCTTAGCCCACTTGAGACCCTGTCTCAAACAACACAACACAAAACACAATACAACAGGTAAGGTTGGGATCTGAGGGGTTCACATCTGGTCCTGCCTCATCACAAACCTGTAGTGCTTTAACAATGGCAATGCCTGCCATTTGTGCTACTGAACTCCGGGGACTGGGGGACTCCCTCTCAGGAGGAGAAAGCGCAGTTTTCATTATCTGTGTGCTCCCCCACGTCTCATACCCACCCGCCTTGCCCAAGAGCTTGCCTGTCTATTTTCTATGAACCTCCAAAACCCCTGGTTACATTTACCCTACCTGGCCGCCACTCACCACTAGATGGCGGTCATGGACCATCAGCCTAATAGGCCGCCTTGAAGGCACAGAGGTGTAAGACGCTTTAAAGAGCTTGGGTGCTGGTCAGGGACAGCTAATCCTAGTCTCAGAAAGGGGCCACGACATGGCCCAGGTCCAGGGAAGCTCGAGGCTCACTAACTCACAGCCTCCCCTTTCTTTCCCTGGCTTCCAGTTCTTTTAAAAGGCAGGACAAACCTGGATTCTTAAGGGAACTCTGAACTTCCTGCTTCAGGCTGGCATGCTTGGGTGCCTCGGAGCCCAGCTGATACCCAGGGGTACAAAGCCTATGGGAAGAGCCTGTGTCTTTCCTTGTTTCCAGCTGTCCTGGAGGGGACCCTCGGGACAAGACCGGGAGAAGGAGAAGGATTCAAGGTTAGCATCTACTCTGAGGGCTCACGTAGAAACGCCCCAGGAGCAAGTCCAGCCGTGGAGAACAGGGGTGCTCACCCTGCTGGAGTGGACAGTAGCCATTTGTCCCTAGCAGATTGTGGCTACAAAGAAAGACTGGGTGGCCAGTGGGTGCAACTTCAGGGCTGCCCCTGGCCTGTAAGGCTCTCTCTAGTCTGACATCTAAGCTGCATATGACCTCCCAGCTGGCACTGGCCTCCATTCACCTGGAGCTGTCTATCCTGGGCCTCGAGGGGTCTGAGGACCTTCAAATGCCTCCTTAAACACGAGGATCCCTAGGTTATACACATCAGGGATGGACCCTTACAGCTCAACTCAGGACCTAGTGACTTGCCTCATCTGCAGACAGTCTTCTGTCTCATCCATTTCTGCTCCAAGTCCTTGTGTCCATCCATAGGCTTTGTACCCCTGGGTATCAGCTGGGCTCTGAGGCACCCAAGCATGCCAGCCTGAAGCAGGAAGCTCAGTTAGAGTTCCCTTAAGAATCCAGGTTTGACCGGCGGCGGTGGTGGAGCACACCTTTAATCCCAGCACTCGGGAGGCAGAGGCAGGCGGATCTCTGTGAGTTCGAGGCCAGCCTGGGTTACAGAGCGAGTTCCAGGAAAGG